CCCCCCCCCCCCAAAAAAAAGAAATTGGTCTAAATTTATTTAAAGAATCACGCCGTACTTCGCCACTGTGTGTTCGTCGACGGCTGCGGCTATACATTTACCCTAGACGGCCAGAAGTCATGGTGGGGCGCTACAGGGAGTGCAGGGCATACCGCCAAGTGTGCGGCCAACGAGGACGAAATTTGACTATGACCATGGCATCCTCGGCAGCTGCTGGAGTATTGAATACTGTGTCGGATTTTCTGTGACTTTCTGGCACGGGCGAGGAAAAAGTGGATCCCGATAAATCGGTGGTCTTTACGTATAGATTTGGCCATTCGCGCCCCTTACGTACACATTTCGTATGTTAAATGTAAAAAATACTCAATTGATTGTACAAGCGTATTAATGTTTGCCTTATCCATCCTAATCCATCCTAAGGTTGTCCAGGAATGCTACTGAATTGCAGAGTGTCATAAAAGTGTTAATGAATAGTGTTTCACTTTAATGTATGTCAGTTGTCCCTATTGGCTTTCAAGATAGTGTTAATGACTTTGATGTTGGCGTTAATGAAAGTATATTTTTCTCTTTTGAATGACGCATATGATACCCAAAAGTGTTATTGAATGTTGATTAAAATGCAAAAATCGTAATTGAATCTTATTTATGAGCATATGTTCGTATTTTCGCGCTAATGAACGTATCTTCGCACTATTAGTCGCCGTTTCACGCAAATGATTGCGTATTTTCTCCTAATGAACAGCAAAAGGTGTAAATAACTTATTAACTTTGTGCGTTCGGTCATTACAGGGAAAACATTGCCCTTAGTCAGTTATGGGCTCCTGAGTTTACCTAATGATTTATTCCGCTTCTTCACTGCAAGTGGAGCAATGTCTTGGCTGGCTTCGCCGGTGAACATCTAACTGAATTATGTATGTCTGATGTATGTATGCATAAGGCACAACTGAGACAAGCTTACTAGGGTGTTCACCGGCGAAAAATGTCTGCGCATGCTCTACTAAAAATGGCACGTGATCTATTTCGCGCAATGTCATTGGCTCTGAGGCAAAAATGCCGGTTGAGATGAAAAAAATAATGGCTGTTTTTTTGACAGTGATAGCGTTGTGGTTTTCTTGCCATAGTAAGAGATCAAAAAACATTTTGGTGAAAGTTTTGAGTGGAATGTTTTCTCTAGAAAATGTAGCGCCTTGGAAACGGCGGACAAACCCAGTGGTGGGTATTTGTCGGAGATATTGGCTTTGCAATCGCCGGCATGGGTGCGAAAGGCATGCCAAAAAGGTGGGTAATTTTGACTTTCTATGCTTACTGTTAGTTTCGTGCACATCGGTACAACAGGAAATTGTAAAGAAGTGAAAGAAAAATTATTGGGCTTTGTTATGTATATAAATTAGCTTGTACCGCTGTGCACGGAAGCGGCAGTTGTGTTAAACGTGTGGACCGTTTTCGTACCAAATATCGACTTGCATCTTTGAAGTTCAGGGACCCTCTGGAGGTCTAGTTCAGTGTATCCTCAAACATTCGAATTTTTATTTATTAAGCTTCGCTGGCATTTTATGCTCAGGTTAAAGTTTCTCGCCCCACAGTCCAACACAAGAGAAAATTGAAAGGTACAGCTGGTGGAGGGCCGTTTGAGCAACAGAATAATAATCATTATAATTATAATTAATAGGAAGACCGCTAAATCTAAATCAGCGCGTTTTCTCTTTAGAATGTGTGTCAAATGGGACACGATTTTGATCGATCGAAAGTGAAAAAAATAGTATTTTCCCTAGAGACCGTACATGCATTATGCGTGCACAAAGTTGTTTTTTTAACTGAGAACAAAAATGGCCCTATCATGTTTGGCACCTTATATTACAATTTAAACTATTTCCTGAACGTTTGCTGGAAGTTATTCTGTACTTGTACTTAGACATCTTTTTTAATCAGCCATGGCATTAATGTTTTCAGGTGGATTGTTCCATAATAATTTGCCCCTCTGTATTTCACTGAGAATTCTTTGGCTGTTAATCTATGTATACGTGTATGTTGTGCACAGTTAATTTTGTATCTCAGCATAAATATTATTTTTTCTTTTATTTTTAGCATACATTGCCATACACAAAAAGAACAGAAAATTATAAATTAACTGCAATAAAAAATTGACTACAATATTAGAATAAAATTTTATATTAGATGCTGATCAGGTATATTTGTGATAATTATGTAAAGTCTTTTTTTGTGAAATAATCTTGAAAAATAGCAGGTAATGTTCCAAAGAAGGATAAAAGTGTAATGAGATCTACATGTAATGATTGAATAAAAATGTTTTGGCTTTTCATAAACTGAGAATTGTCTAAAATAAAAAGGCAGAGCTGTCATTAGGGGCCGTAACCCATAACACCTGTTACAGCTGAGCTCACTTGATGTTACAGGTGATCAAAGTGGAAAGCTGAAGGTGGTAATTTAAATTTTTGGGACCTGTATTGGGTGAATCTTCATTTGCTATGGCTGTTTCAAAACGTAATGACAGCCCTGAAAAGGGATGGTTATATCTCTGTAGAGCAATCCTTGGGGTTTTTTTTTTTTTTTTACACCAGCATACTTGCCCTCTTTGGGTCACAGAAGATTGCTAGCATTGGGGGTTTACCTGTACTGTGTATTTATTAATTGTGATTGAGTACTTTTAAGTTTTATAATATGTATACGCATAATCAGTTCTTGTTTTGCCAAAAAATGCTTTCCAAAATATGGGTTTTCTTATTTACGATGTCAGCTAGAGCCAAAAATTGGCACATCATGCTTGTTAGTTTCAGCCGGTGAGAAATTTGGTACATCAAGTACAAACTTGTCCAGTTTTCAATTCCAAACCTTTGTCAAATTCATGGTTGCATGATTGATGCATGCACAGCAAAACATTAATTTTTGACATTGTTTCATTTTCTTCAACAAAAGACCAATTTACATAACTTAAAAAAAGGGTAAGAAAATACATGTAACTTAAAAATAATATACATTTCCTTTCTTTAAGTTCCATCATGAGGTCACATAGTATTACATCTTTCTGATTGTTGAGTGTTGGATTTTCTTTTGTACATGTATCAAATTCATCCATGAATTGGCTCACAGGAGGCAATGACTATGATCGATAAGAGTGCAGTCAGACCCTTCAAAGTATTATTGTACACTGTAGCATCCCATCAACACTGTAGCCAGTTTCAAATAGTAAGTTGTTCGTAATTAAATTTTTATACCATCTGGAATATTAAGATAAAAAGAACTGCTGGTAAATGAAATTATAAGCACCACTTTATGGACAGCTCATTATTACAGACAGTTTTCTTTGTCCACAGAGAACCCAAACAGTGTATTAGCTAAGAAATAATAATTTAGATGTACATGTAGTAACACTGTATTAGCTTATAAGATAGTTATCTTGAGGTGTAACTGTCGCATCCGACTCGCCTGACAAGCAAGCATTTGACACTGGCAATGTTAACGATCTCTGATTCAAATCCCTTGTAAAACGAATCATAAAGAAACAGGAACACAGGTTCTTACATCTTATGTTATTAGCTACTACAGCATAAATGCATCTTAGAATTATTCCATTGGCTAATACAGCATTTGAGTTCACTGTGTCCAGTCTTTGGGCCGTAGCAAAAGGGGACTGCTCTACAATGTACACTGTAGCTGTAAGCAAAGTACCAAGCTTTTTGAGAAAAATCCACTTTTCAGCATAAAACAACCAAATCTGGCTATTTAATGCAAAATCAGGTGAAAAAGTCAGCAAAAGGCGATTTGTAGGTTTTTTGATTAAGGGATAGGTAGCATGATGGTCATGGACCGCTTGCATGTGTATATCCAACAGTGTTTATTTACTGTGCAATATCAGGGCTGTCAAAAAGTTTTTAAGTAGCAGGCTCATAATAAAATAATAGTAGGCGGCTTTGGAACTCGCACCAAAGGATTTTGTTAGAGTCTCAGTAATGTCCCAGACCTTCCACGACATTGCACCGTTCTAATGTTTCACAGATCTAATTACTGTTTAAATATGCATTCAATGTGATTCAAACCTGGGAAAAACCTTACAGGAGTTTAAAGTTTGGAGTAAACTTTTAGTCTTCATGAAATTTTAGTTGGATCATGTTGATGAATGCAGTTGTGTAGGATATGCAGTTTCCTATTTTGATCTTCTGTCAGAATTATGAGAGAACTCTCAAATACAGATCTCATTCAAACATTATAGTTTCATTGTAATTATCATTTGTTTCTTTTCCTATAAACTTCTCATCAGGTCTACATTTTGCATGAATTTAATGTGATATATATTTGAAGCGGTTGTTGGTTTACAGTGAAGTATTTTTCACTTTGTTTTTTTTTATATGAAGTTGAGTTTCTTCTTAGTTGTTGGCTAAGGCAGTGTTGAAGTAGTGACATGCTAACATACTTTATTGTTCATTTCTCTTCAGAAAAGATTGATTGATCCTGAATCAAACAAAGTGCAGCTTCAGAAACAAGATTTTTGAAGAACAAATGTGTATTCAAGCAAAGTATATGTCCCTGACAGTGTCAATAAAATTTATTAATGGAAAGATCTGGGTTTTTACTCCTTTGTAGCACTTTTGACTACTCATCACTTTTCTAACCTATATAGTAAAAAGATCATATAGTATAATCAGTATTTTTTCCAACTAACATATTTGCAATCAAAGTTCTCTTTTATATATAGTATTGCCCTAATTTTAAAAATTTCATTATCTTATTCAGATCAAGCACAGTAACCATTGAAAAGAAAAAAAAACCTGCTCGGTCATAGACGGCTTTAAAGTTTTGATATTAAGACTGCAATGTAAAGAACATGAATGCAGACACTACAGTTCATTTAACTCATGTTCAAGCTTTTTTTATAAATTAGGAAGTCTTGCTGGAGAAGACATAATTTTGCTTTATCTTTTCGGTAAAAAAAGTAATAAAATAACTTCCAGTTGTCTAAGCAATTTCAAAGGACCCATAGTGTCTTATTTCTCCGCTGCATAGAGCTGTGAACAAAGGCCGTTCTTTCTAGACCCGGCTTTCATCAAAATTATTGTTGTCCTTCGTGATCGTGAAGAGTGCAAAGTTGAATCCGGTAAACCGGCCAAAACGCGAGCATCGCAGGGAACGAATCCCATAGGAATAGGTGAAAAAGGATAATAAAAAGTCTAGGCTATTCTTAAAATATCCGTATATGCATTTGCAACTCATATTAAGTCGCAATGTCACTTCTTTCCACTGGAATAAACAAACGATGGATGTATTGCCGCCATTTTGAATTTGGCAATGTCACGTGGTCGCGCGTCGACCAATCAGACAATTTTCGCCGGTGAAACTAGGGTGACTGATCAATATACGCGCATGCGTTCGCAAAGGCCTCAGGCTCAGACCATTAGAAAAACAGGAAAGGGGTCAAGGAGTTTTCTGCTATGTAATCTATTTTGGCTCGCCGTGTATGCATGTTTTGTTTTTTTTTTTAATCATTTCTTTTCTTTTCTAAGCTTGCTTTTTTCTGCTGTTCCGGCTGCTTCCTATTATCACGCGCTTTTGTTTTTGTTTGTTTGTTCATTTCTGTATGGGTTGATTTTTTTAGGTATAAGTCTGTCTGCAAGTTTTTTTTATAGTGCCCCATCGTAGCGGGGGTGGGGAGCGTGTTCCTTCCGCAATTTTGTCTGCCCCAAGCAGGCAAGGTCCAAGGTCTCTTGAAGCTTATCTTGAAGCAGCCTAACGATCACAGCAGAGCCTGGGTCCAACTCGTCGTGGTACATTCCATGCAACATATACGAAGTTCTAGTCCTCACAAAAGTGGTCGAGGTCGAACGGTCCGCGTACTGTCTTTCAAGTCAAGTCGAATTCTTTGGAATTTTGTTCGATCTCCTTTAAGTCCGACTAGAATTCTAAATTATTTGGGTACATGAATGCTATATCGACCAGGGAATCGTTCAAAATACTTTAATTTGAAATCCTATTCTGACGTTGGGGTTTTGACACGTGGTCACGTTCAACATGACAAGCCTGTGGATGGGAGATGTAAGTTTATGATAGCAGTTTTTGAGATGTTATGGTAAAATAGAAAATCAGAAATGGCTCGTTATTTCTCCTCTGCGTTAGAGGCATTAAAATTTGCAGTACGACGAATAGCAGTACATGCGCACACAGTACAGATGCCTACAATTTTGTAGACTTGTCTCCCAACTTATCATAGTGAAAAGGAGTGAATTCCCACATCACCTCTGTGACCCTTAGCCCTACCTTGACTTCATCCCAAGATGGCTTAACTGCAGAATGACTGCATATCTACTTACCCAGTTCTTTGAAGGTTACAACATGGAAGGCATGATACTCTGGAGTGAATTCCCTAAACCTTTGCTTTTGACCCTAAATCTACATGTAGCTTTAACTATCATCCTAGCCATATCTTGCATATTACAGCAGTGATTTGGTAACTCTAGATCTTAACTCACAGACAAGCGTGCACACGTCAATGAATTTTATTGACGTTCACAGGGTGCAAAGAAAATCATTTTTACAGCTTTCCATTCGAAGCTGAAGCTAGCATTTACTAGACCAGATGTCGCATCAACTAGCCCTTAAAACGTTTTGACTAGCGGAATTTATTTCACAGTTCTTCTGTCATTCGAATTCCTCAAAAAACATCACTTGCACTTTGGGCAAGTTAAAAACAGAATTCACTTGCCCAATAGCAAAATCCACTAGCCCCAGGCAATTGGACACCACTTTCTTTGCACGCTACATTCATCAACAAACTCCACAGTGAGTGGTTCAATATCCAGACCCCCACTACTGAGGGAATTTCACTTAGGACCCCGCCACCTCCCTGGATTTTCCACTTTTGTAGGGAGCTGATGACCCCCTAACCCCTCCGTAATTTCCACAAGTGTGACAAAGACCCCCCCCCCCCCCCCCCCCTGTATTTCTTTTTTTTTTTTTAAAGGCACCGCCCCCCCCCGGATCCACACTCTTTCCCCACCCGCCCCCCCTCCGATCTATTTTCCCCCTTTTTAGGGGGCCTATGACCCCCCAACCCCCCCCTAAATTCCCCAAATGGGACAAAAACCCCCCCCCCCCCACTCCCCAACCCCACTAGAAAAGTTCATTTTCACGAAGAAAGATCATAAAGTAAAAGAACGAAGTCATTTACAGTTACTATGCAACATTTTCCATTTATTAATTGATCTCCCAACATTAGAGCATACCACACTACCTACAAAGTAACCTAATCTGCAAAATTTTGCTTAATGTAGTGACATTACACCTTTCTCCTGCTACTAGAAAAAGTTAAGTTGTATATTTGAATTTACCTTCATGTGCAAGAGGGGGCCTGGATATATTTTCTGGAACCATACATTAGGGGTGGTATAGTAATTTTGGCATTCCCCTAAGAGGAAAATGATCTAAGTTTTGTCACCACCTGAGAAAAACTCCAATTAAGTTTTAAATAAATAAAATTTAATAAAGAGCCCATAGAATCATCAGTGGCAATCCTTGGGGGGTAACCTGGGGGAAATATGCAAGCAAGGTGCGGGATTTGTTGACATCTGCTGCAAATTTTATTCTAGGACAGGGGGGATTGGATTGTGTTTGAATTAACATACATTATTTTGTACATATCAGTTTTTTTTATATGTAATAGCTTGACAGTTACATGGATGAAGCATTTATCAGTAGTGCCTTTGCAGCCATGGGGGAAGCAGTGATTTCAGTAAAGATGATAAAAAACAGAGCTACCGGGTAATGTCTTTTGTAGCTACAAAATTAGTTGAGACACTTTGCCGGAAAGGGGCTTCAGCTTTTTGATGTTTTACGAACTTTAGAAGGGGAAAATAAAGTTTTTCCGCCCCCATCCCCTCCATGCAATTTTGTGCCGCTGTTCAAGCTACCTGTAGAAAACCACAAACACCTCAACTTTGAATGGAGAGGAGGGGGGAGGGGTGTAGATTCTTTTGTTCTCTGAAGTTACCTTATTTGAGTATAATGTCTCAACAATGTTGTCGCCGATTGTACAAATGTAGCTAGAACAAAATGTTAACATCAAACTATTCAATGTGCCAGTTGACCATGAGAGACCTTGAATTATTAAATTCCGTGGTTCTTCCTGAAAAAGAAGATTTCTTTTTTCTTGGGCATTATTAATAATCATTCTTATTAGGGTTTATTTAAGACAACTTTAGCTAGATATCATTTCATGCAGCTTTAGACTGGGGTGCTGTAAATTCCTCATGCTTTCTCTGTTGCAAAAGAGGGAGGTGAACAGTCAAACTCAAAATGCAGTCTCTAAGCTCGATAGATGTTGCGGCAACAGAAAATTTGATGTGAAGAAACAGGAAAACTGCTACAAAGCGAGGACTGTGAAACACACACGTATTGTTATGGCTACTGCAGAAAATTGATGTGGTAGCAGACTGTGTAAAGCATGAAGAAAAGTAGAAAATTACAGAAGCACTTAAAGTGGACCAATACAATTGTACAGCCTAGTGCCTAACAGCTACCTGAGATGTAAAATACTTATTGAATGTGCAAAAAAGAAAACTAAAAAAAGTAATAAAGGCACTAGTTAACGAAGATGAGAAAGCAAAGAGATGCTATCCAGGCCTGGCAAAAAAAATAAACTTATAACTTAACACCTAAATTTGCACAAAGAATCTAAACAATTGCAAAAGGATAGGGTGAACTATATTTTGTGAAAAGGAAAAACAAATTATGGAAAATTGTTACACTTGGATCTTATAGTGTTTGCTTACATGTACAACAGGTGGTTGTTAATGAGAGGTTGCAACAGTCACAGGAAAATTTTGGTGTTTGGATAGGTGTTGCTTGTGGGAGGTGGTCACTTACGATAAGTGGTCACAAGTGGAGCTGGTTTGACTGTGTGTAAAGTTGTATAGAGAGTGAGTGTGTACATCTAGGCCACTTTGTTGTGTTTACTAACAAGTATTTGTCACATATCAGGTCTCCAGCTGGTTACTGTTTTGTTGACTTTGGTGACTACACAGTCTCACAGAAGGTTATGACTAAACTCAGTGGTTTGCCAATTCCTGGGAGCAATCCTGTATGTATAGTATTTATTAAAACAATTAAAGCTGTAAGTGCAAGCTAGTATACAGTGTATATATGGTCATTTCCTAAAGCATAGTTTGCACTAAGTATAACATATAGTCATTTTTTATATTTTAAATTTTGTTGTCCCAGAATACAACCTTAGTCATTCTCGCCATGAAGATTCTTTAGTTTGAACCCCCTCCCCTCAGGCCAGGACTGTGGACTATACATGTACTTTTTTATTCAAGTATTGTGTTTCTGGTGCTCTGGTATATGTACTGTACACTGTACATGTGTGTCCATGCCAAAAAAAGAGTGGAATGGACTTTTTGTTAAAGTTACATGGAGCATAATTTAAGATAATTTATAATTTTAAAAATGATTAACCTTAATCTATTCCAATTTTACAGATAAAGAGATTTAAATTAAATTGGGCCACATATGGCAAGGATTCATTCACACAGTGAGTAATTCAACAGTTTTCTTCCTTAGTTTGGTTCCGGTTGGTTTTCATGAAAGTATGCTATGATAAATATATCTGAGATTTCTCTGTTACACAGATTTACGTTTTACACATTCTCCATTGCCTCAAAACCATGTGATGTCACAAACAAATTATAATTGGAATCTCAACCATACATGTATACATGTACTTTATTGATTTGTGATTACTAGTGTAAATAAGATAGAGTATAAGCATTACAATCCATGTATGTTACGCATGTGAATTTAATCATTATGTCATTTCATTAATACAGGGGACCAGAGTATTCAATATTTGTGGGTGATTTGTCTCCTGATGTTACTGACGATGCCCTTAAGGTAGGATCTTGCAACTATTACACTGTTAGTGACATTTAACCCTTTGGTGATGGGTGTGGTCATTTTTATGCAATATGGAGCAATGCAGATCCTGCATTTCTGGACCATTTTGCTTTCACTTCAAGTTAGTTAGGTTATGTTAAGTTTAGTAATTAGCACCAAATTCAGGAAGGATAGACAGGGGTTTCAATAAGCACCGACGGCCAAGGAAATATGTTCTCTACTTTGCTTGTGGAAGTCGGCTACTTTTTTTAGAAAGAAGAAGGAATCGAACTAGTTTGAATAACTTTGTAAAGAAAAAATATATCGTAAAATCTGAATGGGAACGTAATTATGATGTGTGTGATGTACATGTGCCCACTAATTTTCCACTGGTTTTACGTAATGCCTTGGTCATGCAAACACTATAATTATTTCAGTCAATTTTCACAAGTTTCTTTATAGGTTTACGCAGAATTTGTTAATGCGCAAAAGTTAAGTTAGGTAATGTAGTTTTCATCATTTGTTTATTGCTTGCAGGAATTGATTGTGACTGATAAATCAAAAGTAGAATGAAAGCTACACTTTCTTGAATGCAGCTTGAACATTTTTGAACGCTTGAACATTCTTTTGTCCTCAATTTAGTCTCCAGAACACTGAAAATCGCAATTTAGGGCTTTGAAATTTCAAAATTTTCTGGGGTGGCATGTCCCCAGACACCCCCCCTGCTGGCCACTTCAATTCTTATTGAAAACCCTGGATAGATATTCACACAGGTACAGCTGTACCTCATTTTGGAATCTCTGACCAATTCTTCTAATCCTGCTGGAGTTAAACACATACACACAAAAGAAAACAAAACAATTTGTGTACTTTGGTAGAACTAAGGAGTTTGTTACATGTAGCAGGGCTCAATAAGTGATGGTCAATAAAATTATTTTATTTTATAGACATCAGACTTTTCTTGAATTTATTAGCTCTTCATTCACTAAAGGCTCTCTGAAGAAGATTCCTTTTTGCTTACAAGGAAATCCCTCCTTAAGAAACTTAGCAAAAGGGGTGCAATAAAAAGCATCCCAGGTACACTGTAATTTGAAAAGTGGCACTGTTCACATAAAAATAATAATGTAACCATGTAAATACATCTGTAAATGCTTTTTTCAGGAGTTCTTCCAGAGAAAGTTTCCATCATGCAAGGCTGCTAAAGGTACAGTACAATGCATGTGGTGATGTTACTTTCATGATATAATCAATTATCTGTTGTAGTTTAATTTTATCTGTAGTTTTATTTTGTTGTCCGTTTAATATTGGGTGGATATGGTAATGTCAGTTTAAAACTATGAAATATATTCAAACCAACAAAATAATTTTTAATTGCCGCATATCGATGGAAATTTTTAGGAAGGATTGGGGAGAGGAGGGGATGGCATCTAAAACCAATTTCCTCTTCATGAGTGCTGTTGAAGTTGAGGCCTGAGGGATAGAGTGGAGGGGGACATTTGTGAATGGGGTGTAAACTAATTTATTCTCTGTCCATAACAAGCTGGGTTGGCAGAACACATGAAACTTCACTTTAGGATTCACTTTGCAGTTTTTGTCTGTTTGAGCTTAAAGTTTGCAGGGTAGTAGAACTTTCTATTCCAAACATTTGCATGATTTTTGGTTTAAACAGTTTTAAGTGGGAAAATGATATTGCAAGATTGACAGCAGAACTTATTGAATGTGAACTTACATAAAGATGTAACAAACAAAGAGATTTTATAGAGCACAACTCGACCTAATCAAATGTGAAAAATTTTTTTGGAGAGGTAAAAAATAATATTAAGCTTTGATTTTTGAATTTCCCAACATTTTGTTAATATTTTTAGAAACGCGAGTACATCAAAAGGCAACAATGTACATGTATATCTCATTAAAAGCAACTAAGCTCTACATGTTTATTACTGTTCTGCAAAAATTGCCGTCAGTATAGAACATGAAAGTGAACTACTCAAGTGTGTTTAACTGTTTTCATGTCAGCATTTTTTAATGTCAAATTATAGAAATTTTTTTGTGGTTTATGGTTGTCATGTATGTAAGTTGAATCATACTGCTGGGATAAATACAAACAATGTAGTTTGATAATTAATGCAGGTTTTTTCAGCCAAGTAAATTAAGGCAATTTCAAAATGTCGATCCTAAATTTTTTGTTACTCAATTAAGAGAGGTTAATTCAGATCACATGAATAAAAAGTTGGATTAACATACTTTAGGTTTAATCTAATATGAATCTGCTCAGTGCACTTGAAAATTAGTACAAGGGTTGAGACACAATGTTTAGAAACTAAAAATTTAAAAATTGACCTTTTTGAGAAGTTTGACAATACATTGCCTGAGGTTTTTTTTTTCATTGTTATTGCAGTTGTTCTGGACACAGCAGGAAACTCCAGGTACCTTGATGAGTTTCAAACTTTTTGTCATAAGAGTGCTATACGTATCATTATAATTTTTTAATGTTTTGGCTTGATTTTATGTTTGCAGAGGCTTTGTTTTATGTTTGTTTGTGTATAATGATAATGAGTCTGAAATACAATAATTGAAATAAAGTTATTGTTGTTGTTTGTTGTTGAACCACAGTTAATATAATTATGGTTTTGTATTTTTTGAATGTTCTGGGAGTGTGTTTTTGGGCAAACAGTCTTTGAGTTATTGAGAGAAACTTATGAATAAATTGAAATGACCTAGGGAGCAAAAGACCTGATATGGCAGGAGGTTTGAGTTATTGAGAATACCATTAAGGTGCACCAGTGTACTGAAAAAAAAAATTAAGCACACGTAGATGCAGTCAAAGGTGTCTCACCTTACACAGTCACATAATTTACTAATTTACAGTGCTACCTTGAATTATGTAAAATGGTGTGAAATTTCTGTATTGTAGAGGATATGGTTTTGTGAGGTTTACTGATGAGATGGAACACAGGCAAGCCATGATTGATATGCAAGGTGCTGTGGGTTGTGGATCCAAACCCTTGAGAGTTAGTGCTGCAACACCGAAGAGGTAATATAGAGACACATTAACTGATCTATAATAAACTGTCAATTCTGAAACATATCTTGTGAGATTCTCTTGCAAACCCCAAGTGCTTTTTTCTCTATACTCAGATTGTGATACTAAAGATTGCATGTGGCTAAATGTGATTTAGGCAAAGTTAACCTCAAAGTAATGCTGGTCAGCAGTTTCCCCAGCTATACTAGGGGTATTAAGCATTGGTCAGTAAGTATTCCACTGAATTGTTCAGTGTGACTGTGCCTGGTGGGGGCATCCTTGCAGGATTGCCACGGAAACCTCCTGCTCATGCTAGAGCATTGCCCGGCTCCACCAACTTTGTAGGCACCAATGCCCAGGATCATCTATTGGTGATCAGTTTAAACTTTATTAATGCTTGTGGTAATTAAAGGTAATGAAGCTTCGCTCAAACAAACGTAAATTCTTTATCGCTTAAATAACCGCACTGCGACACCTAAAGGTGACAAACTGTAAGAAAGAATGTGAAGCTAAAATAACAGTGGAAAATATATCTGACCCAACCCCATTAACCCTAATGTAAGGAAAAGTTACTTATATGCAGTGAGGGAAATTAATGCCAAAAAGGGGGCAACATTCTAAATAAAATGAAGCAAATTGCATTTCTTTTTGTACATTTAGCATTCTAAAAATATTAATCCAACACAGTGAGAATATTTTCAGTGGGAAATCAAGTATGGTAGTTCTACAGTGTAATAATGAGGGTGTGCAAAAATTGTTTAGGATTTAAATCTACTCAAACCAGAGGTAGCCCAAGCTCACAAGTGTGCCTATAAATTATATTGTTATTGAATAACATTAAATTATAGGGGTTCAGGGTTCATGTCAGTATTATCATTATTATATGCAGTTAGTTGGTGGGGAATAGAACAGCTAGGAAGTTGTTTTGGTTCCATTTTCTTTTTGTTTCCTATAGAAGTAGCCAGGGGTCAATTTTGTAGCAGCCATGGGAACTTAGTGAGAGCTTAAGGGGTTGTATGTTTTGTTCTAGCGACTGCTATTTTGGAGTCAAAATAACAATGAACAGGCTGCAGAATTCCTTACCTTGTCTCCATCTGTTACCTATTATTTACCCCTGACATTTGAGTGATTCCTGCAAGTTTTAGTTGTGTCATTTTCCTCAGTTTACACTTAAATAAAATGTATTTTCTTGTGCCCAAACTAAGTTGGTTTTGCTTTTTTGTGCCAGACCTCAAACTTCTACAGCAGCCTCTACATCAGCATATAGCAGCTCCTCTGCAGCAGCAGCAACAGCAACAGCAAACCAGCAATACATGCAACAGTACCAGCAATATCAGCAATATCTTGCAGCATGGCAGGGATACCAACAGCAACAGCAACAACAGCATCTTCAACAACAACATCAGTATTTTCATCACTACCAGCATTACAATCCATATGGGCAGACAGCTTATCATTCACAAATGGTAACCTTTTTAATACATCACGCACTAACCTTTAATTAATAGTCCTTTCTATTTGTCAGAACTTAACGGCCACACCATTGCTGTCATTGTGAGAATTTCACTTTTAATCAACACTATTCTGCCAGATCAGTGAAATCCCTAATATTGTGCCCTAAGGAGATGGGTTTTAAGCAAAAATTCTTGGAAAAAGCCCATTAATTTTAACTTTCAAACTGACTGTCTGGCAATGGTTGGCAATTCTGACAAATGTAAAGTGCCCATAGAAACCTTTCTAACTTTTGGAGTCTATGGTTGAGATCCTGATGTAGTTTTTTTTATTTTATTTTATTTTTATTTTTTTTTCATGAGATAGTTTTTCATTGGTACTTCCCTGTGCTGTGTTTTACATTGTAAAGCTGTCCAAAGGGTTATAAACTTTTTAGTCTTTAGAATTAAATCATTAATTAAGTGACCAAGACTGCATGTGTAAATATTGTTGTATAAAGTGATTCTAACTTTGGTTTCTATTAGTATGTTGCCTGTTGAGTGGAAAAGTGTACTTCAAAATGAAAATGCATATGTTCAAATAATGAAGCAACAAAATGCTAGTTGCAAGTTAGGTATGCATTGTAAGCAAATGTGATGAAAAGCCTACAAAAATCATTTGTATAAACGGTCCTTAGTCTCTGATACCAGATCGTAATAATTTAATCATGACTTAGATCAGTAATAATTATGTTGTGGATTGAGGTCTCATGGTACATGCTGCCAGGCCGTAACCATGCAAGTACATGTGTTTATCTGCACGCTGTCTTGTCATGCTGTAGGTGCCGTTAGAATCCGGCACCTTCCAAGACAGTGCTGCCAACGTTTTGAATGTGGCGCTACTACACTGTATCAGGAACTCCGCAGAATTAGGTCATTTGAAGAGTTAGTTGACAAATCACCTTAAAATTAAGGCGAGGGCAAGGCTGTGTTCTTAGTGACCCTTCCCTGCTGAATACTGTAGAAGGAAGTAAATAATCACTGTATTAGAAAACGGTTTGAACCAGTTAGCAGTCATGCCATAAGTAGGTGGAATAATTAAAATCGTTCAGGTGAGTGTAGTCCTGATTAGGACTGTTGTTCGCAGTACAGATCGTCGAAACGTCAGTTATTATCAACAACTGCCCAATCAGGACTGAACTCACCCGGCCACCTAGTACTTATAGTCACTCTCTGTCATGTAGTCAGGTGTACAAGCCAGATTGAAAGTAGCTGCGCTGACATTCGTTTCTGACGTGAAGAAGAACTAGTTCTAAGACGCTGTTTTTCTTTTGCAGAGTTACGAGGAGCCAACTGTAACAGTGGACAACACCGCAGAAGGTAAAAATAATTTATTCTTGTAGATAGTTTTAACAAGTGAAAAATCTCTGATTTTATAGTCAGCAAGCATTGCCCATTTGTTTTAGGCCGAATACAAAACACTATCAACTTTGATCGGCAACAAAGAAAATACACAGTCATTATGTTACTAGTTCTTTAATTTTTTGAACAAAAGCTTTAAAACACTGCACCAAATAATTCATTTTTGTTTTTATTTGTTCGTTTTCTTACTTTCCTAGATCCTAATCCACCTCTAAACATAACAGAAGAAAACAAAAGCATTATGTCAAGCGAGGCCGTAAGTTGAACAAATTTTAGTTATTCCTGAGTCAAATAACCTCATCATGAAACTTTTGGGTGTTGCTCGCATTCTGTTTTTCGCGCGGCTTGCTTCTTGCTATGTTGCCTGTCCCAGACTTAGCTTACACGTACATAAGTTGTAAGAACTGACTACAAAACGTCCTTCCCAGAGCCCCCTTCGCAGCCGTTCTTTGTGTTGTCAGGTAACGCGGGAAGAGCGTTGTTTAACAACACAAGGAACGGCTGCGTTGGTGTCGAGCTGTAGATTTTAGATTCTTCATGTCTACGCGATTCTGGGGATTGAAACCTAAAATGTTGTAAATCGAATGTTCCGTCAGTTCACGGGTTTTCTTTCTTGAGTCTTTAAAACGGAACGAACCTTAATAACCGTAAGTTCGTTTACTTCGAAGAGAAAGAAGGAAAACGTCCAGGACCAGGGGTCGATTCTCGATAATTCAGAGGACTCATTTTGTTCCCGAGAACTCCAAACAACTATATGTAACATCAGAAACTGAATCGGAGAATTGTAGTGGGGGATTATTTTTAGACCGAACTGAAGCCCGTAGGACCTTGAAAAATTATTTTCGTGGCCGGCTTAGGGTCTGGATGAGCTGGAGCCCGACGTAATGAATCCGCCACTGAATGGTGTTCGTACATTCCTTCTATTTCGTTATACATTTGTAATAATAAATATTTTGTACCTATTCCTGTTTGAAACTGCTCATCCTACCTAACGTTTCTGTTTACGACAGGATTTTTTCTACGAACTGGAACAGTCAAGATGGCAACCGGTAGAGACGCTTAGTTCAGGAGCTAAAACTGTTCCCGCATAGCTTTGTGTATCACATAGTATTAAACCGTCTGGTCAGAAATCGTAATTTATTGTCATTTTATCGCTGTTCAAGTTCTTTCAGTGTCCCTCAGTCAAAACAAAAATGCAAAATTTGCAGCTTCTTATTTTGGTACAGTACTGTCTTTTGATTTAGAGCACATTAAAACGCTCTCAAGACCATTTACAGGCACCGCGGCTGTGTCCAGGTGAGTCCGTTCAGGGTTACAAACGTGTGCGTCTACTGCTGTTCACACGAGAACGATGTCAATCCGTTTACGAACCTTATTCACACTGGAGACCGGTAAAGACGACCGTTTACACTGTTCAAAGAAAGACCCATAATTTTGCACGTATGCGTTTATAAGCTCCAACGGACTCATGTAGACAAATAAAATTATTGCAAAGAGGCGTTTTGCCAGAAAAAGGGTTTTCCTGTGGTAATAGGGAGTTTTAGCAATAATGTCAGCGACGCTAACACAAAGCAAGAAACTTGCTAGTGCCCTTATACCTGGGGCCGCTTCCCGGAAATATAGTTAAGTTTAATCCATGATTATGCCAAATTTTAAGCAGAGTATTTTAGTCTCAGGCTATGTTCACACTGTACTGGATAGCTTTTGCGCATGCACGAAAATCATACCCGACACTAGGGCTTTTGTTCACGGTCACATAAAAACGGTGATTTCCGCGCGGTTTCTGTAAGGGATCGACACTGCGCTGCGCCAATCTCGAAAGTCGAGTGTCACGTGTGGTAGAGGTTCTTTGTTACACACTTGGTGTATTGTGAACAGGTATTCGAACCTTATATAGAGGAAGTAAATAAGTAGGAAAGAGGACTGGAACCCGGCGCTGAGACGGAAGTAACCGCTCTTGTACGATCGGTTCAATGTGTGTGAACGACTTGCTCCACTACTGTGCTATTGCTGTCCATACTATAATGGATAGGCTTGCTTTTCGTGTTGGCACTCAAAGATATTCGGTATAGTGTAAACAAAACCTTAGAACGTCGTGTATTCGAGCTTTCCAAACATTTTGGAGCCTTCCCTTTGAGATACAGTTGTGAAGACAAAATGATACTGTGTAAACAATTCATTGAATCTATAGAAATGAGAACAGAATCTTGGGGCAAAATTTAAATCGTGGATAAGTGCTTATCGGCTTTTCAGGAACCCTACAGTTGACATGCTCGCCCTTTTCTCGCCGTTCCCTGCAAAACAGGAACGTCTGGCCCTAGCTCTTCAAAAGGTGGATAACGTTATTGAGTTATCCGGTGGATAACGTAATTGGTTTCTTTAGTTTATACTTGTCCCCGCTGGATAGTGACTCACTCGGTGGATAGGCCTATCCAATGTTTGAACAACTGGGGCCGGATGATCAAATTTACAGCTTTACGAAGATGAACATTCAGCTGTTGATTGTAATTCTGTATTACAAATTCAGAATTACATGAATTGAAATGAAACGAAATAGCGCGAATTGGTTTGAGGCCATCGTTATTGCTAAACGTTCCTGTTCTTTACCGCTGCGATTACCCAAGTCAAACGAGCCATAAATAAAGAAAATATAAGTTTTATTTACAATTAAATATTATAACTTGTTGAATAAAGCTCTATACCTTTATTGACAACATTTACTCTTATCTCAAGTGAAAAAAAGTACATCTTTACAGATGTGAAAAATTTTTTTTCATAGTATAACTTCTTAAAACATGGCCCGGCAAAGGATCGGTAGATGCCCCTGAAAGTAAAAGTACTTCTTGCTTTGAAAGAAATTGAACACAAAGAACTTCATCATACTGAACAAATGTTGCCATTTTTAAATACTTTAGAACGTCTGCCTACCTATTAACATTTATGATATACATAACTGGATCCTGCGCGAAGTGCAACGCAGAATCGTGTTGTGACAACTGAAACATTGTTCTATTGTGTAAATAGGACATGTCAGTTCTTTAAGCAACTCTCATATTAAAAGTCACTAACGCTACGTTCTCCTCCTAAAATTCAGTTCTGTGAAACTAGTAACAAGTTCTTTTGGCTATGGATTGCCATAAGGTAAAAATGTTCATGAATCCTTTTTGTCAATAAAATCATAACTTCATTTCTGACGTCGACGCTTTCGATTAACGTTAACGTTAACGCTAAAATGTAGGAGTGCCTCGTCACAATGGTTACTCATTTCAAGTCCCGATTCTTTGAAATCGCTTAAGTGAAATTTTTCTGTCAGTAACAGTATTCACTATACTAGACGAAACTGCGATGCGATGTGCTTGGTCATCTTGGCTCATAGATAACCTTGATTGTAGGAACGCGGGATAAATATATAAGGAATGCGTGCAAAGAAACATGTATCAATGACTGCATGTAAAGTCACTTATCGAGTAATGTCCATAAAGGCAGGCAGTTACTGGTGAACAAGTGTTTCTGTCACAGGCCTTGCATCTCATACGCATACATTTCTGAACACGTGTCGATCAAGTTACTTATTTTGGCCACCTCAATTAAAAAATAAATAATACTCTCGTTGTTCTCAGTAAATACCATCATGTGGCCGTATCATAGATCCTAGGGAAAGAAAGAAATGACATTGGTTATAAATCGAAACGCTTTTCTGAGGGAGATAGGTCTCTTATCTTGGCCACCTCCTCGGACGATCTCACCAAATGACGGTCCACGTACTCGTCAACGTTTAGCAAATACACTCCAGGGAAACGATCACTCCGGAGCGAACGGCGCCGCGGGTTTGCGATGACACTGCCCGAAATGGCCGGTTCCGACCTTACTGAAGAGGGCGAGTCAATGCCACTTTCCTTAGATGATTGTCTTCGTAAACTAAACAAAGAATCCAACTCATAATGCGATGAGCTGGGCCTTGGTCTTGCCAGATTAGCTTGAGTGCGTGTATTAAGTGAACGGTCTTGTTCTCGAGGAATTTGACGTGAAGCTACATCCTTCGGTAGAGATGCGACTTCAGTTGTAATGCGCGAGACATCTGTAATGCTGAAGGGTTGTGTGCGCTCATCCATACCATTGGCTGTTGATGTACGAGGATGACTCTTACTGACACTTGGATGAGTGTAATCGAAGCTTAATTTACGAAGCCAGTCCAGGTCAATTTTTGAACCATACTGTGTCGACGGCGCTTTATCAGCTGAAGTCACTTGGCTTTCTTTGACTTCCTCGCTAATTCCGCCATTTACAAGCGCTGTTTGGTGATTATTATAATGGTGTCTCACATCCGTGGAATCATCGCCTGATGGGGCGACGCCACTCACCGAAATCTGTTTCAGTTCTTTTTCTAACTGAAGTTCCCAATCTGCCTCAACGTTGTCAAAGGCATTAATAGAATGGGTGCCATAAAGGTCAAGATCAGAATCATCACCGTCGTTTAGATCAATTTCCCAAGAACCTGAGCCATTTGTAATACCAAGATCGAGATCGGAATCGTCAGAGCTGAGGTCAAGCCTGGGAACTTGGACTTCTGCCCGCTTAGTTTTAGCTTGGTCTCTTTTCTTGCTAGATGAGCGCTTAGTATTTTTATATGACCAACTTTCAAGGGAATCGGAAACAGCACGTCGATCTTTGGATCCTTGTTCGCCACGTAAAGAAAAATCTCCGAATGGTTTGTGCATAGGCTTTGGATATGATAACGTTTGATTGTAAGGACCAGGAACATGTTCCTTTCGATCTCTAGGTTTTTCTGACTCTTTCTTGTAACGTCCCACTTCTTTTATAGGGTGACTTGCCAGTGGCAAACGGACAGGCGATCTCACGTCTCCAAACACGTTTCTTTCGGTTGGTCTGGAGGAAGATTCCCGCAGCAAAATATTCTCAGCTTCGTCTCGCCTCTTGCTTTCGTCCAAAATCTCTTTCTCTCTCTTAAGCTGAAACTCCTTTTCCTTCATCCTCCCAATCCATCTTCTCTCCAGGTCTCGTCTTTGAGATGCCAATTCACTCTCCAGCTTTTCCTTTTCTTTCATTTCTTTTTCAAGACACTGTTTTTCCTTGGAGTGTCTTTCTAATGCAAGCTTCTCTCGTGCAATCCTAGTATTGAGGTCTTCTACTTGTTGGCGTTTTAACACCAGCAGCTCCTTTTCTCGCCTGAGGTTCTCCTCGATGATACTCTCGTAACATTTGGACCTGGCGCTGTCCGAGTTACTACTGTTTTGTGAACTGTGTATTCCAGTGAGTTGCCTGGAGATTTTCTCCTCTACAGCTCTGTGTTTTTCTCTGAGCTGCCAGAGCCGCTGAACTAATACTCGGCGTTGCTGCTCCAAATGATTCATCTGACTGTGCAGCATATCCTGAAGCCGGATATCTGTAAACTCGGTAGAATCCATCATTCTCTTAATTTCACTGATCATGTTCTCAGTCTCTTGGACGTGGCTTTTTATGTCTTCCTCTTGTTTAGCTTTGTTATCTCTAAGTTCTTGAAGCATATCAACCAACGCGTCCCTGCTCAGTTGCTTTTCAGGTGATATGGATACCGAAATAACACTGGTGTTGTTAAATGAAGTCCTGCTAGAATCCCCGAGAACTCCAAACTTGGTCTTCAAATCAAGGATTTCCTGTCGCAATTTTATCTCAAGTGTGTTTTTCTCTTTCATCAACTGCTCCATCAACTTTATGAGTTGTAACACATGCGAGCCTTCACTAAAATTTTGCGAATGGCCCACCCCATTAGCAAAGGAAGATCCATTCATGAGGTTCTTCAGTCGTTCGTTTTCTCTTTTGAGTCTTTCGTTTTCCAGCTGTAACTGCTCCATAGTCCTCTGGCCTTCAGTGGTGTACCTTCCCCTGGATTTCTCAATTTCCTCCCGCAATTTTCGGTAAAGTTCTGAATTCTCCCTCCTGAGCTTCGTCAGTTCCTCGTTGGCCTTATTCAGACCTTTCTGATAATTATGCGCTTCATCCTTGTAAGCATCAATACCACTATGAAGACTCTTAACATCTCTCTGAAGATCGCTTATCTCTATGTCTTTCTTTTTTATGAGTTCTTGATATTCTAAAATGTGCAAGTTGGACTGTTGTTCAAGTTGTTTCTTTAAGCTTTCCATCTCGTCTTGTTTTTCTCGCAAAAGACGCTGGAATTTATGATCAAATTCTGATCTTAGCGTACCAATATCCTTCATGTGTTCCTCGGTAAGCGCTTTTGATGCATTCTCTTGCTGCACCAAATCTTCCAGTTTCTCCATAAGGTTGCTGAACTCTTCAGAGTGTTTCTTGTTGATGCGAGCTTCTCGTTGTTTATATTGCTTTTCGAGCTCGGTTTTTGTAAAGTCTATCTCTTGTTGATGTGCGTTTAGGGTACGTGTCATCTCTTCCTTCAGACTCTCAACTTGGTTTTTGAGCTCGTTATTCTCAACTCTTAAAGATGCCAACATGACCTCGTATCCAAGCTTCATATTTTCTGTCTCTTCGCTAATTCCAAGCATATCTTTCTCTGCAGACAGCGTTTCAACTCGCGATGATAACTGAACAACTTCAACGCCAATTTGTTCTTTTAAATTTTCACACTCCTTTATTTTTTCTTGTAGCTGCTCTTGGAGGTTTTTTATGGCCGCGTCTTGCTGGGTGGTGTACTTTTCTCTTAGAGCGCCCAGCTCAAGTTGAGATTCTTCAAGTTTAAATTTCAATTCTTCCATCTCTGCTGCTTTCTCTTCTTTTGTCACCTCCAGCTCCCTAATTCGTTCCTGTATTGTCTCATTTAAAAGGTCAATTTTTTTCTTATGTTCTTTTTCTAGGGATTCTCTCTGGGATCGTATTTCTACTTCGTGCTGGCTTAGGAGGTCAGCTTGGAAAGCACTTTCGAATGTAAGCTGGTCTTTCAATGATTCAATTTCGTTCTCGTACTCTTCCTTAATTTTTTCTTTCTCTCGTTTTACTAATTCAGCGTCTTGGACAGCATTCTTTAGTTGCGCGTGGTGCTCCTGCATTAATCTTGATTCCAGTACAGTCAAATCCACCTTGTGTTTCTCAACCAGTGTTTGTTTCTCCGCTTTTACCTCGTCAAGTTCTTTATTGGCGTCTTTTATTTTTGTTTCTAAACTGTTCTTTTCTTCCTTAAAGTTCGTTTCCATTTTTTCTAGCCGGGCTTCGTGTCTCGTTACTTGTTCTGTCATAAGACCTTCGTGTTCTTCGTCTTTCAGTTGATTTAACTGCTCAAGGTTTTCTACCATACCTTTCAATGATTCAACTTCTGCTGCGATCTCTTCGCGACTGACGCGGTGTTCTTCCTCCATTTTAGCAAAAATGTTTTCGTAATTCTTCTTCAGTTGCTCATTATTTTCTTCGTACTCTTGTTTCAGGTCATTCCGAATGCGTTCCAAACTGTGAACGTATTCCGAGCTCTGATTTTCCATCAGTGCTCGCATCTCTTTCTCCAACCTGGATGTCTTCTCTATTTCTTGGTCGAGCTTATTGGTCACTAGGTCAATAGTCTCCTTCTGTGTTGTTATAGTGCTTTCCTTTCCTAACACAATGCTCTCCATTTCTTGCAGTCTCGTCACGTGTTTGTTCAGTTCTTGATTTTGCTCTTCTATCATTTGTTTTATGGCAGCGCTTTCATTCTTTTCAGAAATCAACTCATCTTCCAAAACTTTAATCTTCGCCTCAAACTCATCTGTAAGTCTTTGTTTATCAGCAAATGCTTCTTCGACCTTGCCTTGTAGTTTCAATTTCTCACTTCTCGATTCCTCTAACAGTTCAGCAATTTTCTGTTCTAGGGCCTCCTTTGACCCGGCTTCAGAAGAAATTGTTCCTTCTAGACTATGAATAGAGGAATCATGTTGCTCAATTAGGCGTTTATTCGCTTCTCGAAGCTCTGTCACCTCTCTTTCTAACTCTTCTTGCTTGGATGCAAACCGAGAACTTGACTGTTTCAAGGTTTCTTCTGCGCTGCTAGCTCTCTCTGATGCATCTTCTAAATCACCCACCAAGGCTTCGATTTTTTCATCATACATATGAACGACTGCCTGCTTTGCGGTATCTAGATGTTTCACCATGGTTTGCAACTTCTCGTTCTCACCAAACGCATTGCTTAGTTGTTCTTTAAGAGCCTCTTTTTCACTTTCTATTGAGGAAACACTTTGTTGATAATCCTTTTTATTTTCTTCAAGTCGCGCCAATAACTGATTCTGTTCTTCTCCTGTCTTCTTTAACTTTTCATCGTATGTCTCTGCAAGTTTATTGAGATCATGCTCACTTTTTTCTTGTACACTTTTTAGCTCTTCCCTCATACTGTCGGCTTCTTTTTTCGCGGAGCTAAGCTCAATTTCTAAGGACTCAATTTTTTCCTTGAACTCTTTAAGTGACTGCTCTTTTTCTTTCTCACTATCACCGTCCGTTGTGTCTTTTTCCTCTCCTCTAGTTTCCAAATTACAAATCTTTTCTTCAAGACTGTGTATTTTCCCTTTATACTCTGCTACGACCCGTTCCAATTCACTTGCGTGTTTTTCTTGTTCCTCTGTCTCCGCGAATTTCTCTTCTATTTCTTTTAACCTCTCAATTTCCTCTGCAAGCAGACTACTCTCTTCTTGCGAGTAGCTTAACTTCCTGCTTAGGTCCTCATTTAATTTCATTAAATCTTTAATTCTGGTTTTCTCTGCAACAAGATCTTCGTAGAGAACCCGAAGCTTTCCTTCGTATTCGTCTTTGAGTTTTTGTCTCTTAGCGGCAGAATCCCTGGAGAGTTGCTCTCTCTTCTTGGAGATCTGCTCCTCGAGCTCCTCTTTTAAAATTTCGAGCTCCTTCTCGTGTTGGCTCAAAAGAACACCAAATTTGTTGTGTCCCTCCTCTTCAAGTTCCTGTATTGTACTCGCTTGCTGCTCTGTCAGTGTTTTCAATAACTCGATTTCTTCCAGAAATTTGTCTTCAAAGTCAACAGCGACTGGGGCAGCGCGAAGCGTTTCAAGTTCGTTTTGAAGCTGGACAATTTCTTGTGATGAACCGTTATTCACATCTTGAAGTTCTTTTATCTTCGCAGTGAGGGAGTCAATGTCTTCCTTCATTTTTGAAACCTCCAATTCGTAGTTCTCTTTTTCTTTCTCCAGCTTTCTAAGCTGCTCTACTTCAGCGCGTAAATTTCTCAAGATGTTTAACTCTGACATCAGGCTTTCTACGTCTGCTGCATGCTGTTCATCGCTTAATTTCTTTGCAGCTTCGAGCCGTTCATACTGTTCCCGTGACTCCTGCAGCTCGCTCTCTAACTGTTCTACTCGGTCTTCTAAACGCTGCTTTTCGTTATCAAAAAGTCCCTGCTCTCTTTCACGAAGTTCAGAAGATCCTTTTTGCAGCATGGAAATTTCCATCGAGTGCTCATCGCTAACTTTTCTTAAAGACGATTCTAGATCTAAATTTTTCTCGTGAAGCTCATCGAATTCCTTCTGTAGCTTATTCAATTCTTGCTCGAGATTTTCGCGATCTCTTATCACAGTAATCAGTTGTTGTTCTTTATTTTGCGCATCACTACTTTTCTCTTCTAATTTGGACTTCAAGCTCTCTACCTCTTCACAATGTTTGTTATCAGAAGCTCTTTTCGCTTCTTGCAACTCGTAGCAGTTGTTTTGAGAGTCCTCTAGGTCCCTCATCAGACCTGAGAGTTTGAGTTCTAAAACTTCCAGCTCTTCAGCGTTCTTATTATCCATCTCTTGTTTCTGCTCTAACTCTGCATACGCCTTCTTAACTGACGCCAAATTCTGTTGTAGCTCTGAGACAGTAAGCGACATTTTGTGTTTGTTTTCCTCAAGAATGTTCACCTCAGAGTTTCTTGACTCTATCACATCTCTTAGTGCGCCTATTGTCGACTTCAACGCACTTATTTCAGACTCGTACTTCTCCAACAAAATTTTTTTCTCCTCCTCGAGGCTTGCTGCTTTCTTGACGTAAACATTAACTTCTTCTTGCAGTGTTTTGATTTCTCCTTCTTCCATGTCTTCGTATTTCTTCCTCATATTAGTAAGCTGTGCTTCGTAGTTCTCCATTAAGGACTTTTTGCCATCTTGCAATTCTTGAAGCTTGTTCTTATACAGTTCAAGTTCACTTTTAAGTGTCGTTAGATTTTCTTCCTCCAAGCTTTTATCTTGCTTGTAGCGTCCTTCAACCTCACTCATCTTGTTTCTTAGCTCTGAGAGATCGCGTTCGTACTTTTCTGAAAGTGACTGATTTTCTTTTTCCAATTCGAAATACCTATTCTTATACGACTGCAGCTCCTCTTTCACTTCTGATAGCTGTCTCTCAAATTCTTCTTTCTGTTGTGCTTCAAACTGCATTTTCTCTTGCATTAGCACTTCTCTACTCCTCTGCTGGACTTCATCCATTTGAACCATGATGTCAGACACTTGACGCTCGTATTTATCTTTAAGAGTTCTGTTACTTTCTTCCAACTCAGATCGCGTCTTTCCTATGTCTTCCTCATACAGCTTTCTCCAATGCTGCTCGACTTTGTTTACTTTCTCGCTCAATTCGCTTTGGTATCTTTCCTTTAGTTCGTTAGACTTCTTCTCTACTAATGCCTTACACTGCCGACGCATCTCCTCTTCGATCATCTTCACTTCCTGCTGCTTCTCAGCCTTGAAAGCTTGAACCTGCGCCTCAACGGCGTCCATCTGACGCTGATATTCAACAACTTTGTCTTTCTCCACCCGAAGCTCTTGCTCCAAGCTTGATACTTTGGAACGGCATTCCTCCTTTATAATAACCACTTGTTGCTCAGTGGTGTCTTGCTGAATGACCGATCTGCGACGTTCTTCCGAAAGTTCTCGTAGTTTGCCTAAAAGTTCGGCTATCTCTTGGGAGTGACTATCTCTAAGGCCTTGAATCTGATCGTCCATGTCAGCTGTAACTTGATCGAGATCGTTCTGGTATTGACTCTTCAGCTGGCGTTGAAGAGCCGCGATCTTTTCCTCATACTCGTTTTTCTGCCGTTCTAACTGCTGCTCCCACTCTTCCTCCATTTTATTAAGACTGTCATCCAGTTCTCCTTGATACTCCTCACTAAGTCTTTTTGCAACTTGTTCAATTTGTTGTTGGTAATGAGCGTGTAGTTCAGTACGGAGTGATTCCATACCTGAGGCAGTGTCACCCTTTCCATCATGGCTCACAACAATAACTGATTTCACATTCCCATTACCGTTTTCTCGAGGAGAGTCATTTTCAATCTCGCCATTATCTAACCTCGCAAATTCGTTGTTCTCAGCGTTGAGTTTTGCAGAGTTCATCTTTTCCTGCCGCAGCACTTGTTTGAGTTCTTCCACTTCCGAGTTAGATTTTTCTAATTTTGTAATGAGATCATCAAGTTCAACCTGATGCTGATGGGTGAGACGATCTTTCACCGCCATGACCTCAACTCTGTACTTGGTCCGTTCCTGCTCCAAAAGACTTTCGAAGTCATTCGCGACATTTTCATCTCTGTTTTCCGAGTCCCTTTTCTGTTGCAAGTTTTTATTGCGATTGTCACTGCTACTTGAACCGTCGCTGTATTCTCCTCCTGTACTTTCCTCTTGATTTTCTATGCGGGCTCTGAGTTCCTCGAGTTCTTTCTCGTACTGGCTTCTCACCTCACTCAGTCGCTCCTCAATCAATTTCTCAAAATCCCGTTCGCCACTTCCTAAACTAGCACGAAGTTTTTCCGTTTCTTCCTCGTGTTTATCAAGCTCGTTTTCTAACTCAAGTTGCGCCTCGAGCAACTTGTTTTGCAAGTTACCGATATGATAGTTTTTGTCCTCAATCGTTGTGCGCAACTTCTGAATCTCTTTTTCAAAGTCGATCTTGAGCTTTAAAACCGTAGGATCTTCTGCTTGATCTTGGAACTGTGATACTTGACTCAGGTGCTCCTGAAAACTTGAGGATAAAACCACAAGCTCTTGTGCGTGCTCTGTATTCAGCTGTTCTCTCTCTTTAATTAATTCCTCTATTTTTACTTCTAGGTTTTGAACTTCTTGTCTGTACGTGTCTCTTTCTTCCACTACCTAAAGAAATCAATAAGATTCTGTGTT